TAGGTTTTGAAAATGTTAAGCCAAACTCGAAGGCTTAGCATCCTATTTATAGGAGGCTGAGGTCCATTATTACGATGAGCATAATATTCTTGTACACTGGGCATACTCGTTTGAGTCTTATCCGAACTTTGGATGCGGCGAGGCTACGAGATACGCTTCAAGTCTAGTGAGATTACGTTGGGCGTAATCTTCTTGTACGTTGGGCTACTAATGTGAGCAGCAGTACATTGGTCGTACATCTACCATACGGGGCGTAATCTCATTCATCAATATCCTAAGTCTCGGACGTCTTTGACACGTGCTGCATGCGAGGGTAAGGTCGATGTGATCAAACTGAGGCCTAGCTTTTGAGTACGTTGGGTGTACTCCTTATACGCAGGGCGTACTTGAATTTTTGAAACATAAAAAAGTCATAACTTTCACATACGATGTCCGTTTTTGACGTTTTGTTATATCCACACGTAGCGCGAGACCATGCTCTAAAACTTTGGTTTAGACTCCGTCGGCTAATTTTGACTTTATTTTTAAATTTATATTTTTAACAGGCCGGTACAGGAAATGTTTGTTGAAAATTCGTAACTTCTTTATCCGACTTCCGTTTTCATCTGTCTTTTTACCATTACACTACTATTAACGAGACCTTCAATTCTTGTTTAGGTTGTGTCGGCTAAAAATCATCCGATCTTTATTTCAAATTTCAAGCTATGCACTGCTATGTAGAATCTTAGAAAAATCATAACTTCATCCTACAAAGTCAGATTTGGACATACTTTATATGGACACTCTTAGTATAACGTATACTACAACTTTCATTTACAGAGTTAAGGTTAAAAAGCATGTTACTAAAAACTCACTTTTTACGCTAAACTGCATTTTGCTGGTTTTTTCGCGAATCTTCGATTGGTTATAATTTCTTCGTTATTACTTGGGCTTTAGTGTTCGTTATATTTTCGGAATCATTGTCACAACCACTACGAATTTTCTCATAGATATCATGTTCATTTAACTATTTGTATTCTGAGAATCAAATAAGTAAATGCACATAGTGTTCAAAAATTTCTCTTTATTACTTTAAAAACTAATTACAAGTTAATCTAAACTATTACATGGATTAGAAATAACTGATCGTTACACCAAAGATTGCATTATAACACCAGTTAGCCATAATTTCCTAACTAAACGATATACCTTAATGAATATTAATCCTTGAAAAGGCTAGAAAACATACATAACAAAGAAAATGCACACACACATACAAATAAACAAATCACTCCTCACACAAATAATCATTGATTTGAATCATACATATAGTTTTGAAACAAACTCTATGTTTATTTTGACAATAATATTGTTGGTATTTTAGCTTTTTAATGTATCTACCATTTCGTCTAAAAAATGAATTTATGGAAACACCAATGATCATTGGCATAAAAAACTACATAAGTACTTATTTTATATATATATATATATATATATATATATATATATATATATATATATATATATATAACCTAATAAAAATAACAAAAAAACATTTATAAATTCAAAATTTCCAAACGGTTATTTGTTTGAGACAATAGATTGAACACCTTGTGAGTAGTATTGTATTAAGCTTCACTTTGATGCTTTTATTTTAATTCATCATAAGAAATCTATTCAAAACTATAAATTGATAAGTATTTATTGTAGTATTGAATCTCATTGACAATAAAGCTTAAATCAACAAGAAGATGAAACTAGGGCTTCAACAAATAAAAATTGTAACTTTATTTAGGATTTATCATAACACATCAAATATCATTGAAGATTATACTCGTTGTCACTTGTAAAATATCGTAAAAACAACAAATCAAAGAAAAAATGTAACATAAACATCAACAAATAGCTAAGATCAAACTAAAACGAAGCTAAAAATGATAGAAATTAGAAAATATATATATATATATATATATATATATATATATATATATATATATATAAATATATATATATATATATATATATATATATATATATATATATATATATATATATATACTTCCATAACTTGAAGTTTAACCAAAATGAACCTTAAAAATGAGGAATTAGAACCAATACGAGATCAAGCGAATGTTAACATGAATGATTCATATTTAACCATAAGAATTCTTCAAGAACTTAGACAAATATGAAGAAAAATCAACTTAAATGTTCATCCACTGAATTAGAAAATAACGTTGACCAATTTGCCCTTGAAACTTTTTCCCGTAAGGAGAGCACGACAGAAAGTTGGGGTTATTTACAAAAATGTATCCATGTCTATCCATTACAAAAAAAATAAAATAAAATAAAATAAAATAAAAAAAATGCACAACCACAAATTATAGTAGATGAAAGGCTAATATTTGTCCTCGCAATCCTTACTAAGAATAGATTCCCAACCAACCTCTTATAAACTCAATTTCTTTTTAATTTGATAATATGATAGCTAAATTCTTTGTAGGACAGTTTTGTAATTACTATTTAATAAAATTAAACTCCGATTGTATCCATAAATTCTTTGAATTTTGATTTCGTTCAATCTTTTTATTTTTTAAATCCACAAATCGTGATTCTTTGTTTATCTTATTTTAAATAGTCTCATTTCGATTCTATATATTATCATCAACAATTCTATCTACAATTGATTTTAGTTCATTGACAAAATCAAAGTCTGCATCGTCAATGAAATTTTCTGATGTTGCTAAAAATAGGTAATGCACTATCAAACACTATAGAATATTATTGTTAATTTGATCAACAATGGATTATAGTTTATTCTAAAGATTCTGATTGACATAATTGATTGATTTAACGATTTTCAAAAAAATATTAATCAATTTGAAAAAAACAGGTATGAATTTGTTATGAGGTTTGTTATGTTAGTTTTTAAGTTTCAAATGATATTATTTTTTTCATTATTCTGTACATTTGATTTGTATTACAGTTCTTCAAGCTTTTAAAATACATTAGATCAATGGTTGTTTCTTCTCAAGTGTCCATTGCAAAGAATGCGGTTTCTTATGAATTTGTTAATTCAGGTAATTATTTAACATCATCAGTAGGAATATATTTTTATTTCGATTCTTCTGAATTTGTGACTATATCTAACTTATTTTTTAATTGATTTAAAAAAATGAATCTTTTATTTAACACATTTTATATGTGTTAGTTTGTTTCATATGTTTTAATTATATCTTTATGTTATTATTTTTTACAAAAATTGTGAAGGATATCCCTGAGAGTACTACTTTTTATTCGTCTCAACTCACAAGTGAAGGTATCATAAGCATTAAAGTTTTAATGCTTTTTATATGCTTTTGTTCCATGCATACGTTTTACTTATCTCTTTTTTTTTTTTTTTAAATTGTAGAAGATATCTTTGAGAATACTACTTTACATGCCTATGTCTAAAATATAATGTCTCATCTAAACTAGGAATTTATCTTTTAGACAACTTTGATGATTAGAAGCTGATAATTTCAACAAATCAAATTGAAATTCCGATTGATGTGTATCAGAATCACGTTATGAAAATATAATCAATCACAGTAAGAACGCGTCGAGTAAATAAGACCTGATTGGCTCATTAATATCTTTAAATGGTATATGAGTTTGAGAGAGTTTACAATCACGAACATTGCAAAGATACTCTCTACCCTCATACCTACCCTATTTATAAGGTGTTACAGACGCCCAAAAAATACAAGTGCTAAACGTTATATTTTGAAGTCGACTTATGCCTTGTAAATACATACACTTCGAAATCAACCTGATTTCGCAAACTAGCAGACTTAGACCTATTTCGACCTTTCACTATTATAAATTTCGAACCTAGCAATCTCCCCCATAGTGAGAAAAGACAAAATCATGCTATTTGCTCCAGAGTCTGTAGATTTACATTGCAAACCTCTATATACAAAAGTATCGTCTTTCAAATCTTAGCATTGTCTTTGCATTCATTCCTTTCCATTCTTTTTCTTCCCTTGAAGCACCACACCAAATGGTTGATGTATTATTTCTCCATTTTTAAACTTTTCAATGTTATCCTTCTCCTTCTACAAAGACTGAGGAATCTTTGAAGTCTTGTTAACTACCATATCAAGCTCAATATCAATTATTTCTAGGAAATAATAGTAGTTATCTATGAAAACCTTAATGTGAGCAAAACCAATAATGAAATCATTTTTCTTCGGCTCAGGCAGTTTCGAAATGTCAAAATTACTCAAAAATTATTGTCACCATCGCCAAGTCATTCAAGTTCAGGAGAAGGAAGTCAGTAAACAAAAATTCACACACCGCGTTGTTTTCTATCAAGACCATATATCGAAGATTTTGTAAAAGACCTTCGAATAGGTTTTCTCGAGTGATGGACATCACATTCAAAATCTTTAATGATGACCACAGCTTTTCTTCATTTTTTCCACAATATAACATGAAATCGCATCTTGAGCATTTTATACTCATCTTTATCATTGAAGTCTTCTGTAATTTTGAATTAAGAATAAGTAAAAAAACATATGGTTCACAAGAAAGTCAAGCAGATTAAAATTCGAGTTCTCAATGTCATAACTCTTTTTCAACGCTTTGCGAAAGTGGTCGTTCATCCCAATCGAAACTATATCTTCAGTAGTTTCATAACACCACTGCTTGTTGGGATCACCCATATTTAAGCGAGGTGGGTCATTCTTCTTTCGCCTCATAATGTTGTTTAGTTGCCTTTACTTCTCAATCTCTAGGGTCTATTGCTTTTTGTTTTCTTCTTCAGAAGGAATCACCATAATACCTTTTCCTTTATCACCTTGACCATATTTCGAAGGTAGGTGCATAGAACTTGAACTTGAGATTCCAAATTTTTCGTTAATAACAATCTCTTTCGTGATTTTTCTTGCTGTTGTTGTAGTTAAATTTGCAGACAATGAAACAGGTAATGAAGTGGATATTTTAGTCGAAATAACTTTTCCAACTACTGCGCCTTTTTCTTAATCTTTCGAAGACCCAACAACAGCATATGCTTTGTCTCCCGCTTGCGACACTTGCACTGCGTGAAGAGCATTTGTTGGTAAGTGAAGCACCAACTCAAGGATGGTTGCGAGCTTAGTTTTGATATTTCTCTCAATCTTCGTAATCAACTGAAATATTGACTCCTGTGGCACGATTGGCTGAGACGAAAGATCAACTTTCAAAATAGACTCCTTAATGCTTGATAGGAACACCTCCAGCTTAGTAAACACTTTCGAATCCTACTCCAATTTCGCGTCAAGTTTAGTGGAATTGGAAGAACTGATTCAACCAACTTCGGAATTGCATTTGCAACAACATCAGCCTTACCGTGCAACACAGTATAAGTCTTATCCGTTTTCTCAACCTCTATTGCCATTGTTGACTTGATTTCAGCCATGTGAACATCAATATAATCATTTATCTTCTCTACGTGTTTGATTAAAAGGTCATGACGCTCCTTGGCCACATCACGAATCTTTTGTATTTCATACTCAAAATTTCTAGAATGAACTCTTAATTGTTCGACCTATTTTGTTTCAAGGCTTTTAACCAAGGTGTGAAGATGATTCTCCTACGATCTCAATAAATACTCCATCACTACTCCAGTTACAAATTTCTTGCTCCGAGTATCAGCTTGAGATTGTAGAAGCTTATTGATTTCGGAGTTACAAATTTTGAGTTGTTTACCTAACATGATCATATCATCAAGAACATTATGCTCTTCAGGATCGAACTACATGTCAACAAAGGAAACCATCACATCATAATCATTCAGTTCGACATCCAGGATAAGTCAATCTACTTCAGTAGATTGGGATGAAAAAAAGTAATAATAGGTTCTTGCATAATGGTGGAGTAATTTGGTGAAATGGTTGAAATTGGAACTGAAGTTGGGATAGGTGATGAAAATGGAGGCAATGACGTTGATGTTTCATTGGTTGATGTTTTGCTTTTGGGATTTGAAAGCGAAACCATATGCAATAATTTGCGAAATCTAGGTTTCGAGTTGATATTACCCAAAACCTAAGGATTCTAGTATGATTCTTTTATTGGCAGGAAATGAGCAGATTTGGTTAACCTATCAACTATCACCCAGATAGCATCCAATCTTTCTGTTGTCTTAGATAATATGGTTATGAAGTCCATGGTAATCCTTTCTCATTTCCACTCGGGTATTGCTGGCTGATGTAATAATCCCGAGGGCTTCTCATACTCTATTTTCATCTCTGCCTTCATATTTGGCCACCAATAATGTTGTTTAATATTCAGGTACATTTTATCTGAACCTGGATGAACAGAATATCGTTTTTTATGAGCCTCGTTCATGACTATCTCTCTAAATCCCCCAAATTTTGGGACCTGGATTCTATTCATGAAGTAGTGAGCTCCGTACTCTTTGGCTTCCAGGATTTTATCCATCCCACACAGCGTTTCATTTGCGGCATTCTCTGGCTTCAATGCATCAGATTGGGCTCCATTCATCTATGAGGTTAGGTGGGAGTGGATGGTTATCGATAATGTCTTCACCCGGCAACCTAACTATTCTTTCCTACTCAGGGAATTAGCTACCACCTTAGCCTTTCCCGGGTGGTACTTGATCTCGCATTCGTAATCACTTAGCAGCTCAACCCACCTTCGCTGCCTCATGTTCAGCTTCTTTTGGTTTAGAATGTGCTGGGGGCTATTGTGATCTGTGAATATCGTGCACTTCGTACCATAGAGGTAGTGCCTCCAAATCTTTAGGGCGAAGATCACAACTCCCAGCTCGAGATCATGGGTGGTGTAATTTACTTCATGTGTCTTTAATTTCCTAGATGTGTAAGCAATCACCTTTCCACGCTGAATGAGGATACAGCCTAACCCTTGGTTTGAAGCATCGCAGTATACTATGAAGTATTATGTTACCTCCGGTAAGGATAGCACTGGTGCACTACAAAGCACTCACTTCAAGGTTTGGAAGGCAGCTTCTTATTTGTTCGTCTAGTTGAAAGATATACCTTTTTGTGTCAAGGTGGTGAGGGGCTTGGCTTGCTTGGAGAGGTTCTGAATAAACCTTTGGTAGTAGCCTGCAATACCCAAGAATTTACGAATTTCTGTTATGGTTTTCGGAATCGCCCAGCCTTCATATCTTGGAAGGATCTACATGAATCCCTTCCTCACTAACTATATGACAAAAGAAGTTTACACTGTGAATCCAAAACATGCATTTGGAGAGTTTCGCATATAGCCTTTCAGCTCTTAGAGTTTCCAAGATTTGACAGAGATGTTAACTGTGCTCCTCCTTGCTTCGTGAGTATATGAGAATATCGTTGATGAAGATAATTATAAAATTATCAAGGAATGGGCGGCAGACTCGATTCATGAGGCCCATAAATGATGTGAGGGCATTTTTCAGATCAAAAGGCATCATGATGAATTCATAATGGTCGTATCGAGTTCGGAAAGCTGTTTTTAGAATGTCATCTCCTCAGACTCGGAGCTGATGAAGACTCGGAGCTGATGATAATTGGATCTTAGATCTATTTTGGAGAAGTAACTAGCTCCTTGAATCTGGTTAAATAGATCTTCAATCCGAGGGAGTGGGTATCATTTTTTTTTACAGTGAGCTTATTCAATTCCCTATAATAGATGCACATCATAAAGGATCCATCCTTCTTCTTGAAAAACAAGACCGGAGCTCCCCAGGATGAGAATCTTGGTCTGCTGAATCCATTGTTCAACAGTTCACTTAATTGACTAGATAACTCTTGCATTTCAGCGGGAGCTAACCTATAGGGTGATTTGGAAATTAATATGGCTCCTGGTATGAGCTAAATTCAGAATTCAACTAGTCTTTCTTGGGGTATTCCCGTAAGGTCTTCAGGAAATACATCCAGGAAATCGCATGCCACTGGGATATATTTAATGTTTATTTCTTATTTGGCTTTGTCCACAACATGAGCGAGGAAAGCATAGTTCTTCTTGTGCAGGCACTTATGTGCCTTGATTCACGATATGAGAAGAAGATTGTCACCAGTCTTATCACCATAGATCATTATGGGTTCGTGATTGGGGAGGTGAAGGTGAATGACCTTGTTGTGACACATAATATCAGCATGGTGGAGGCTTAATCAATCCATGTCGATTATCACATCAAAACTCCTAATATATACTGGCATCAAATCTATTTGAAATATATGGTTATTTAGTATTAATGTGCACCCTACGTAAACATCTTTGGTTGTTTCGGTTTTCCCAGTAGCCATCTCCATCATGAAGGCTTTGTTTATCTTCTGGAGTTGTTGCTTTAGTAAGTGTTTGAATTTGTTACTAACAAAGCTCCGCTCGAGTCTGCTATCGAATAAGATGCATGTGAAATTATTACTAAGTGGGAACGTACCGATAACAACCGTTGGGTCTTGAAATGCCTCACCCATACCCAAAGTCAAGATCCTTCTAGATCCTCCCGCCCCTTGGTTGTTTCCTTTGGGGAAATTTCGTCTGAAATGACCGGTTCCTCCACATCCATAACAAGTGTGACTAGCCCCAACGTTATTATTGTTGTGGTTTGTTGTTGTTGTTGTTGTTGTTGTTGTTGTTGTTGTTGTTGTTGTTGTTGTTTGGTTGTTGGTTCTGTTGGGGTTGAGATCTGCATTATCGAGCAGTATGGCCCTTTCGGTTGCAACTTGTACACTAAATATGTCTCTGCATTCTCTATAGTGGTGGTAGCTGCATTTGTTACACTTAGGCAGGGTTCCAGAGTTTTGCCTGGTAGTAGTTTGCATAGCTGAGGCTGGAGCATGTGGTGTTAAGGAAACCTGAGCAGTAGCACTGTGGACTGCTACAGTTTGCTTTTTTTTTATGACTTTTGGCTTTGTCACCCCTTTCGTTTGTTGTCTTTGTTCTTCTTGTTATCCTTTCCCTCTTTGTTCCCTTCAGTTTCTCCAGATTTGTCACCTTTCTTGTTGCAATGGTCGTACAACTTCTTGTCTAGTGTTTTAGCACTGTCGTACTTTTCCGGGTTTGCTAATATTACATTTCATTGAATTGGAGAGGTCAGTGCCCAAATGAATCTTTCAATCTTCCTTCCTTCAAACATGATCATGTCTTGACACAAGATGGACAACTCAATAAACCTCGAGATGTAAGCATCGATGTCGGAGTTCCGAACTATGAGATTCCACAGTTGCTGTTCCATCTTCTGGATCTCCCCTTTGGGACAGTGTTCCGCCATTAACATTTCATTCAGCTCCTCCCATGGCATAGCGTTTACCACTAGAAGCCTCATGGCCTCCAGATGACCATTCCACTAAGAAAGCACTTGATCGAAAAATCTGCAAGCTACAAACTTTACCTTGCACTCTTTGGGACAATAGCAGATCTTGAATACTGATTCAACTTTTTCTATCCACCGCTTTAGATTTATCGTGTCTCTCGTTCTGTTGAAGGTCCGAGGCTTGGCATTCGTGAAATATTTGTTGGTACAGACCATTGTAAGTCCTTGGTTCATCCCCTGATTTGAACTTCCGGCTCATTGCCCGTTACCTCCTTCGTTATTCCCGTTGTGATCTGTGCTAGTGTTGCGGTGACCGCAGCTGACACTGCTGCTTGGAACGTAGCCAAGTTTACCTCCGGTCGTGTTTGTGCCGTGCTGTTTCTGTGATTTCATCTTTGAGGCATCTTTCTGTCATGGAACTGAAAGATGTTGAGTATTTAGTGCATTCTAGTTTCGAGATTCCATAATTATAGAATAGTTTGGGTGATAGGGTTGCGCATGTAAATGAATTCATACAATTAACATGAAATAAAATAATAGCACACATAACATATAACAACATCACGAAAAAAATATATATGTAACTGCATTCATTAGTAATAATCTTTTAGTACATGAAAATTTTCATATATAAGGCATATAAAACATTAATAAAATCCGACAGCATGACGACTCCATGAGTAGTGTAATTACTTAATCATGCAGTCGATAGTACATATAGTGGTACATAAAAGAAATCCTAATAGTAGTGGTGGTATGTGAAGTTGATCCTAGTACCGGTAAGGAAGGTCTAGTGCTGAAATCACATGCCAAAATGTCGTGCCACGAGATCATCCATCTCGCTCATCTCCATAGTGACCGCGTCCCTCTCATGCTCTGCTTATACGGCTCGGGCTTCTACTACTAAAAGTTGTTGTCGAAGGGTGCCAACCTCCTCCTCTAAGGATCAAGTCTGATAGATGGGATCCCTGTGAGCTGTAGGGCAGTCCTGCATCACGTCTAAAGTGGGAGGCTCGTTAGGAACTTCATTAATGTCCCCCGACTTCCTCCATATCCTCATCAGGTTCCCCGAACTCATAGTCGGTCTCCAAATATATCTCAAGTCCTAATACTGGATTTTCCTCCTGATCTATAACAGGTCC